CAGTAAAGAATTAAGGGGTCAAATAAGTTTGGGCAACAATGCATATCCTCATCTGAAAGAGCAGTAATTCATATTAGCATATTAGAGGCCTTGTGAAGTCCTGCAGTAAGAAAACTGCTTAGCTAATTTAGCCCACTGGTTTCTACACTTATTTGACCTCAGAACCTTGTTTTTTTTTTTTTTTTTTTTTTTTTTTTTTAACATAATGCCTGTTAACCTTCTGAGGAATCAGAGTTCTATGGGACATACTCTGGGAGGATTGGATCTAATTCCATCTCCTCTTTTCCCATATGAGGAAGCTAAAGTCCATAGCAGTGAAATTACTTGCCTACGATCACAGAAATCACAGGCTGAGCATAAATCCCAAGACTTTGGACACTTAGTCTGGAGTTCTTTCTTTTTACCCTGCACATTATTTTGTCTAAAGGACTTTTCCTCCTTTATTTAAAAAAATTTTTTTAAATGTTTATTCATTTTTGAAAGAGAGAGAGAGACAGAGAGCAAGTGGGGGAGGGCAGAGAGAGAGAAAGAGAGAGAATCTGAAGCAGCCACTGCACTGACAGTGCAAAGCCCAACATAGGGCTTGAACCCATGAACCATGAGGTCATCACCTGAGCCAAAGTCATACACTCAACTGACTGAACCACTAGACACCTCCAGTGGACTGTTCTCCTTTAACTCTCCTGGCATCTTCTTCAAGGCAGCAGTTAAGAGAAAGACTACTCAAGGAAAATCATATTCTTTTACCCATGGGTTGCCACAACCTACATTATTACAGATGCCAAATGGGGAAAGCAAAGAGAAAGTCAGCCGTTTAGTATATGTTTGCCTCCAAATAATCAGTGTTTTGGGACCAGCTGGAATATTCTTAACACCCTATATTTTTCTGTTTACCAAATTGCAGATCACCAGGAAGTGACACGAAGTATATGATCTGTTGCTAACACTAATTACCTCCAAATCTACTGACCTTAGAACAATAAACCTTTATTATATCTCACAGTTTCTGTGGGAATCTGGGAATGGCTTTGGTGTGTGATTCTAGTGCAGAGTTTATTGTGAGTCTGTAGTCACAATGTCAGGCAGGATGGTCACCTGAAGGTTTCACTGGTGCTGGAGCATCTCCTCTCGAGGTAGCTTACCCATAAGTCTGGAAAGTTTATTCTAGCTGCTGACAGGAGGCATTACTTCCTTGCCATATGGACCTCTCCACAATGCTGCGTGAGTAGTCTCTGACAGACATGGTGGTTGGCTTTCCTCAGAGTGAGTCATCCAAGAGAGAGAGAGCCAGGAGGAAGCCACAATGCCTTTTATGACCCAGGCTCAGTCTGGGTCACTTCTGTCATATTCTACATTTATTAGAAGTGAGCCACTATGTCCAGTCTACATTCACGGGAAGAAGCATTAGTCTCTTCATTTCGGAGGAAGAAGTGTCAAAGAATTTGTGGACATATTTTAAAACCACCATACCAAGAAAAAGTTGTAAGAAGAAGGATGCTAATTAAATGACCAAAACAGGTGCCTAGGTGGCTCAGTCAGTTAAGTGACAGGCTCTCAATTTTGGCTCAGTTCATGATCTCACAGTTCAGGAGTTTGAGCCCTGCATTGGACTCTGCACTTACAGCACAGAGCCTGCTTTGGATCCTCTGTCTCCCTCTCTCTCAATCTCTCTCTCTGCCCCTCCCCGTCTCGTGCTCTCTCTCTCTCTTTCTCTCTCACTTACATGCACACATAAAAATAAATAAACATTAAAAAATAATAAAATAGGGGCGCCTGGGTGGCTTAGTCGGTTAAGCGTCCGACTTTCGCTTAGGTCATGATCTCGTGGTTCATGGGTTCAAGCCCCGCGTCGGGCTCTGTGCTGACAGCCAGCTCAGAGCCTGGAGCCTGTTTCAGTCTGTGACTCCCTCTCTCTCTGACCCTCCCCTGCTCACGCTGTCTCTCTCTCTCTCTCTCCTACAAATAAATAAAAAACATTAAAAAAATATAATAATAAAATAAATGACCAAAACAAAAGAACATATTTGGGGTAAAAATCCATTTAGGACAAGAATAAGTGCTAACTGGAAACTCTGAAAGAGATCAAAAATTTAAATTTACATGGGGGCACTTGGGTGGCTCAGTTGGTTAAGTGTCTGACTCTTGATTTCAGCTCAGGTCATGATCTCATGGTTTGTTGGATCAAGCTCTGTGTCAGGTTCTTGCTTATAGCATGGAGCTTGCTTGGAATTCTCTCTCTCTCCCTCTCTCTCTCTCTCTCTCCCTCCCCCCTCCCCTCCCCCCTTTCTCTGCCCCTCCTCGCTCACTCTCTCCCTCTCTCTCAAAACAAACAAACAAACAAACATTAAATAAAAAAGAATTTAAATTTACATTGGACCTGAAGTCCCAACCTGAATCACTGGCACAGACATCGTTGAACTTCTTTCAATAAAAAACTTATGAAAGAAAACTTCTCTTGTGGCCACCATGACTGGGAACATAGGTGAAGGATCTGTCTCAAGGATCAGCAATGCAGAGAGCACAGCCACTGCTTTGACTAGTATCTTTCCAAGTGAACTTTTCCTTTCTTAAGCCTTTGAATTTTCTAAGTGTTGCAATATCCCAACATAACCAAGAGGGTTGAATTCCATCTCTAGTTTTCACATCTTTTTTTTCTTCTGAAGGTTTATATCCATTTCTCTATGCTCTCTGAAAGCAAGATATCATGATCTAATTGCCTAAGAATGTATTTCCAAATAGATGTTGACAGAGTCTGAGAGTCTCAGAAAAGATCAGACAGATCATATTGTCTCCTTTACTCAAGATTTTTTTTAATTAAAAAAACAAAACAACAACCCAACTGTGATCCCCAAAGCATTTTCCTTTGTGGTACCTGGGGTATTCAGTCAATCAACATGCATTTCTTGGACATATGATAAAGATAAGAAGTTCTCCAGGATTCATGTAATGTATTTGGGGAGCTAAACAGAAAACAGATGCAGATAAAAACAATAATCACACTGAGATTGAGAGAAAGGAATGGGCTGAGGCAGTTATAGAGAAGAGGTGGATTTATTAAGAAAACTGTCCCAGAAAAGATGAGCCTTTGCCTGTAACTTAAAACAATTCTCAATATTGTGGGCAGTTGGGCAAAGGCTGGGAAGGGGGTAAGAGAAGGAAGCCTGAACATCTGGGCCATCAGAGGGATGAGAAAAGAGTGGGCCTGAATGTGATGGGAGATGAGACTGGAAGGGTAGGGAGGGGAGGATGGTCGAGACGGATTTGAACAAACTGAGCTACTAAGAGTTTTGTGTAATTGGAGCAAGTCCTTTGTAAGAGTTGAACATCTTTTTTTAGTATATTCCTTCTCAAAATGAAATGAAACAAAACAACAACAAATCTTTCCCATTCACAGAGACTCTTTGAAGGCTAGACCTGTTCTATGGGCCCCTGTAGGGAGATGTGGGTTTCAGGTTCTGCCTTGTCTTCCAGGGCACTTTCCAATCACCATCAAGACTAAAGGCCCACCAGCTGTATGTGGAGGAAGGCTGGCAAGAGGCCAGTGACTGACTGACTGATGGATTGATTTATTCAACAAGGTTACAGTGAATGCCTTTAGGCTTGAGAGGATTAAATGTATTGTTCATGGAACTAGCACAAGATGGCAGACAAGTCTCCACTTATTCAGTATAAATTTCACTTCTCTTTCTTCCTTTTGTGTGAAAATTATTGAAAGATTTTTCAATGAGAATTGATTGTGATCCTGCTATGTATGTGTTAGGGACTGTGTTAGGTGCTGGGAACACCAAAATGACTGAAACATCATATTGACAATGTGACAACAAACTTAAAGCCTAAATATTTCCTTTTCTGCTTCCGGCTTTTGCTTTACCAAAAGGGGAGCTGTTTCTCCTGGAACAGAGTGGACAAATGTGCAGCAGGTGAACAGAATCATATTTGCTCTCCAGTGGTTGTACCAGCTGGGTCACACGGACAGTGGCCTCCACCTGTCCTAATTCTGCTTCCAACAATTCAGAACCAAGTTATTTTTATACCTACATCATGAGACAACCCAAGTGGTGATAAAAGTTCTTTACCACTGAATTTGGAACTGAATGCATTCTAGTTTCTGGAAACCCGTGTACATCTTCCTTAGCAATAGATGCAATATGTAAACTGTAGTAATAGTCAAGAAACTACTTTCCAGCTGCTGGAGGTAGAGGACTTGAGCTTGTCGTTTTGGATGAGGGACCTTGAACACTGGGAGGGACTGACCCAAAGTCATCTGACATGTAGATGGAGGTAGAGGACAAGCCAGGGCTACTCAAATCTCCTGGCTTTGAATTCATGCTCTTTTTATTAAGCCAGTGGTGACATAACTCACCAAATGAGTACAGATTTTAATCCTCCTCATCAAGAAGCCTGCTGGGCATACGTCTCATGCATACACATCATGGTGGTTCCTGGGTGGTTGATACTCATCACCCTCTGACTTCAATTTTTTTCCCTTTGCAAAATGGCTATTGACCAGAGCCAGCATCTCTTCTCCAAAAAGTTAATGTGCCAGAGGGTTTTTGGAAACTGCCTTGATATCTGTCAGAAGCCAAATGATTTGCAGCAATGAACCAATGCACATAACAAGGATACCTGATTGGATTACCAATTAACCATCTCCACCTCTGGAAGGTGGCTGGAAAGGAGAGAAAAGGCAGTGTTTAGTTTGGGCAATTACCAAAAGGGCTTTATCATTCTCATCAAGGCATCAACACAGCACATTAGACCTCCTCCAAGCCATTCCACAGGAACTTCCCTCTCCAGATGCTCCAGCAAGAGTAAACTTGTCATGCAAACATTGGGTTATTGTGTCTGAGCTACAGAAGCACCTCTGTGTCAGTGAGATGGGAGAAACTGGCTGACTTGCATCTGTTTTTAATGATGTCTCTGCTGCTGGGAAGTTTTGGAAGCTACAGGTAAAATCTTTCCATATAAAAGTGAGGCTGGCCTGCTGTGTATCATCTTACCTTTACCTGAAAGAGGCTCCTCTGTTTTAGTAGGCCCAGGAAGGGACAGGCAGATGTTTTCTCCATCTGGACCCAGTGAGAAGTGTCCCAGTGTGGGGTCTCTGGAATCTTCTTGAAAATAAACACAAGTTTGGACAATGTTAGCACCAGTGTAGGGGAGGCAGGCTTCATCTGGACTGTGCTCCCTAGATTCCCAGCAGGCAGATGCCAGTGTGCTCAGGTGCCTCCCAGAGTGCAGGGTCAGCCCTGCTCCTGGGATTGGCAGAGCAGGGCCATCATTTACCCCCTGCCCTCTGGAGGTCAGTGTGGGATGAATAGTAGCCTACGAGCCCAGCCGCTGGGCACAAGGCTTGGTGATTCCAGCTTCTGCTTCCCTTTTCTATCACATGTATCTATGCAGTGCTCAGCAGTACAGCCTACCCTGTGGATCAATGCTGGGGCTGCTCAGTGACTCCAGGGGCCTCAGGCCACTGAGGAGAAGGAAGCTGTATTTCCCTCTGTTGCTTAGAAGAGTTGAAGATATTTCTATAACCTTCCCTTTCCTGTCACTGAGGCACAGGGGTCAGGAGTAGAGCTGGCCACCAGCCACAGTGGATGCTTACAAGGACATAACACACACACACACACACACACACACACACACACATTTACAGAGAGGTGTGTACACACATATGTATGCAAAGTGAATGTACAAACGCATGCATGCACAACCACAATGCATGTTTGCATGCATGTACATGTGTACCATGCATGAACAAGGACACACACATCAATACATGCACACTTGTTCTCAGACATGCATGCCTACATAATCACACACACACACACACATACATATACACACAAGCACTCATGTAGGCATATAAGCATACACACACCCTCATACACCCATGTGCTCTCATACACACATTCACTTACACACACTTAGCCAACACATTTAAGGCTTTAATCTGCATTCTTATCCTAGTCATGGCCCTGGCATTCATTCTAATCAGATTCTCCCTTTATACAAATGTCCAAGTATGGTTGTGTGTGTGTGTGTTTGCTGTGATTTGTCTTGGGCTATGCAACCTCCCAGAACACTGTTGTTACAAAGTTTGGTTCATTTGTATCAAATTTAATAGAGGATCACTGCCATGCAAGTATAAAAGGGGCAGGGGTTGTGGGAGAATGATTTCTTACAGAAATAGTTTATAAGTGAAAATGACATCTTTAGAGAAAAAGAGAGAGAGCTAGGGAGAGAGAGGGATTTGATTTTGACCATTGCAGTGTTAGAGAAGCTGCAAACACATAAAGGAGTTACTGATCTATGTATTTAATTTATGCTTACAAGGCTTCAACTATACATGCTTGGGGGAAGGAGGGAGGGAGAGAGGGAGAGAGAAGGAGGAAGGGAGGGAGAGGGAGGGAGGGAGGGAGAGAGTCAGAGACTTAAACAGTGAGGCATCCTGTCCCTGAATGGTGTGAGATGAAAATGAAAGATGCCATACCTGCTATCTTTGTGGTTCTCCGTTCCCATGTGCCTCTCAGAGAGTGAGTTTCTTGCAGCCCTGAGTGTGATTCTGCTGTTAACAGAGATACTTTCTTCACATTGTCTGGCACCCAAACACACACCAATCTCCTTCCTCTGGGGCTCAACCAGAAAAAGTAGCCCAACACTCCCATGAAGGAGGAACAGCTGGCTGAGCTGCTCTTTCTAGAAAATGGTTTGTCAGTGTCCAACATTGCACCTCCCTAAGGGACTCTCAGATAATTTGGATTCTAAGCAATTTTTGCTTTATTTATTAGCTGCCTTTAGATCAAAGCCCCTGTGGAAGCTATTGCTACAGTGTCTCGGCATTATTGCTCTTGTATAAGCATCTTAGTCTCCTCCTAGACTGTCAGCCTAAGAATAAGAACTTTTAAGTGGGCCTAAGTCATAGAGATGTAGATTTGCTCTGCCTCACCCTTCAATAGAAACCTAGAGTCCTTCTCTCTCTCTGAACAGGCCTCAGGTTCTGCCCTGGGCTAGAGGGCGACTTCTCTCTGGGGATTCTTTCTGTTGGCAGGGTCATGTCACCAGGCTCCCTTGCCCCAAGAAGGGTGTTGAGTATCCTGGTAAATCCAGTAGCGTGTCTCCCTGATGAGCACAGGGAGCTGTGTCATCACACACTGCTGCCAAGAGTGAAGAGAGCACAGAACAGCTTGGCAGTGCGTGTTGGTGCAGCAAACTCTTAAAACATGTACTGACTCTTTAGGAATATGCATAGTGAACATTAATCCCAGACATTGTTGGAAACAATGTTCATTTCCCCTTTTCAATGGGGTAGCTTTCAGACAGCTTACATCACAGCTACTGTGTGGCCCTGGCAGATGATTAAAATGAGCCCAGAACAACAGACAAGCTGGGTGGGGACCATCTGTGTACCCCAGAAGTGATTACCTTGTCCTTCTGCTGGAAGTGCTCCCTTGGCCCTTTTCATGTCCATGGGCCCTGTGGAGCTGCTGTGGCCTGATGTCCTGGGGCTGTCCAGGCCCCTCTGGCTCTCTGGACTTTTTCTTCCTTTAATCAGGGTCGATGATGGTGTCACATTTTGGGGTGAGGCATTATCATCTTCCAAAGCAAAAGGAGAAAAAGTACAAGTAAGAACTTCTAAATCAGCAAGAAGGAGAAAGAATCTCTTGTTTTGACTTGGTTGATAGCTCCTTGTGCATGGGCTGGTTTATTCCACATGTTCTTAAGTTTGCCCCTCTTTTCTAGCCCTGCTAAGGAGTGGAGGCCAGGTGTCTCCCATGGCCAAGGTGGCTAGAACAGTGGCCCTTCAGTTGGGGAGCCTCCAAGCACTCAAGCAGTGGTTATTGCTCTCATCTTATTCACGGGCTCCTGAGATAGAAAAAAGACTAGAGAGGCTATGAGACCCTTTTAGACCCTAGACCAAAGTCTCAAAATAAAAAACCCCCAGATTTGGGTCTCATGGGATTGTTGGCTACAAAGTTTTAACCACAAAGCAATTTTTCTAAGCAGAACCAATGATCACATGGCTCCTCAAGGTTTTAAAGTACAAAGTAGCACCTTCCAGATGGTAGTTAGAGGGTAATGGGATTGATGATAATGTTACACAAAGCACGTCCTTCTCTTCACTTCTGTTGTCTTCCTCTAGCTCTTTTTCAAAATCAGTATGGACTATTCTAGGAAGGGTGAAACCCAGTAATCTAAGTGATTGAGACCTTGTCTTAATCTCAGAGAGAGTGGTCTTTATTTCATGTTCAACATACTGTTGCTGTTGTGTTTCAAAGCTGGCTTCACACACAATTTCAAAGTATCACAGGCTACTTATTTATTATAAAGGGAAAATGTATCTTTACAATGGAGAAATCTAGTAGATACCACCTTTAATTAAATAATGAAATTTAACATCCCCTATAATAAAACAAATTATAACAAATGGAATAAATATGAAGGGATATTTTGTGTCTCTTGATATGATTGCTGGGAAGGATGTATTATCACTTACTACTCTTCTTGCCAAAAATGTTGCATCTTAACCTAATCACAAGGAAACAGACAAATCAAAATTGAGCATAATTCTGAAAAGCAACTAGTCTATCCTCTTCAAAAATGTCATTGTCATGAAAAACAAGATTCTAAAGACATGGAACAATTAAGTACAATACATGATCCTGAGTAGATCCTGGATTGCTTGGGGGGAAAATCTATAAGGAATATTATTGGTGTAATTAAGAAAATTTGAATATGGACTGTTTATTAGAAATAATACTGCATCAACATTAATTTTCTTGAGTGTGGTAATTGCATTGTGGTTATGAGGGAGAAACTCATTGCTCTTAGGAAATATATTCTGCTAAGGGAAGAAATATACAAAGTCTGCAATTTAATCTCAGGTGATTCATCAAAAAATATGTATGGTGTATATGCATATATAAAATCTGGTTTTATTTTTATGATATTTGAGGTGAGATAATCTAGGGCACAGCAAGTAAATGGGTACGTGCAATGGGGCCGTCCTGCTTAGCAGCTTTAAACACCCTTGCCCCAGGAATCTTGTAAGAAAGCTTGCCATGGAAACCTTGCCTCTTTAGACTTTTTCCTTTATGCCTCTACCACTACGTTGAGTCACGTACTGCACTAACTCACACTAAGGTATCAGGGACTTCTAGACCAGGCTCCCCCTGGCAGGGCAGCAGACAATAAGCAAGCTCTAGATACTTGGTGGGCACAGCAGCTCAAAACAAGTGGAGAGCATTGTGAGGTGAGCAATACCAAAGATAAAATTTACCAGTGTTGCTACTGATCCCAGTGGCTCAAACTGTGCACCTGACCTTGTGACCCACAGGTGGAAAGCTGCTTTTCTACTTGTTTGCACAGAGTGACTCTTACCCTTATTTGGATTTTTTTTTTTAAAGGAAACTTCAGAGTCTTTAGGATGATTAACTCTCACTTAGGAGATGGAGTTAATGAGCTCCTTCCCCCAATAATCAAAGGAATTTCTCAATACTGAAACATCTCAAGAATATTCTGACTTGTTCATTGTTTTATTTATTCTGAAAGACAGTAGAGAGTAATGGGTAGGAGGACAGATTCTGGCACCAGAAGGCCTGAGCTCCAATCACAGCTAGGCCACTTGTAATCATGTGACCTCAAACAAGTTCTTTATGTCCCAGGGCTTCAGTTTTCTGGTCTGTGAAATGAGGGTAAGGTTGTTGTGGGGAGTAAATGAGATAAACTAGGGATGGTACCTGGCACAGAGAAAGAACTCTGTAAATATGAATGCTCATCCTTTTACTTTTCATTACCACTAGTCAGAAGCCACTCAGCATTTGCCACACAGTCATCTTGCCCTTTGAAAAGGAGGTTCAGTTTAGTAAAAAATGAAGGGCTTTCTAAATATGACCATTATTTCCATCCTATCAACACATAAAAAGTTCACTTAGATACATGCATTGTGTACAATTTCAAATGTCCATGTGATGTTTTGGAAAATTGGAGTGAAGTCTTTTATTGATATTATGACTTTTAATGAATAAATACATATTCCTAAATTGATTAGAAATGGAATTTCATTGGTTAAAAACTTGGGATAAACTATAAAGCATGCAGCAAATTTTTAGTAAGTTTGGTGATGTTTTATATCTGCAACCAGAAACTATTAGTAGGGGGATGATTCAGTGAGTAAGTTGCATGAGCTAGACACTAAATTGGTTTCATAATAGTACTTTGGTTAAGGCAGCTGTGGCACGGGAGCGACTGGCCTCCTTTCCAGCCTCCGTCTTCATAGCTGAGGTCCCTTGAGTCTCTTACCTTGCTTCCCTTTGGGGTGAGAGTCCTGTGGGAGGCTGGAGGGAATTAATAGCTACCTTGAGGTGAGAGCATGTCCCTGCCCGTGTCCACTGGGAGATGCACCGTTAACTCCCTTGGCTTTTCTAGGGAAGCATGCTTCAGGGGAGATTTCCATAAAGGTCTGGCCTTTTCTTCTGTTTCTGGTCCTGACTCAGGGTGTGGAACACCTAGGAGACAAGGAGAAAGCCAAGTTTTGTAGATGTCTGTGGTTTTTGCCACCTGTCTCTTCTTTTTGGGGACGCATCTCTCCCCTGCTCACATTATGTAGTTTGGGTGGAGCTGTGTCGTTCCCTGACTCTGGGGATGGGCATGTGACTGGCTAATGAGCACATTTCAATGTCTTAGTTGCAGTGATTGGGTCCAAGTTGGGCATACAACTCAAGCCTGGCCAATTAGAGGCAACTCTGGTACTTTTGCAAGAGCTTTTAAGGTGCACATCCTTTCTTGTGTGGTTAACAGATAGGTTGGCATGAAAATGCAGGAGGCCAGGGCATTTGGGTGGCTCAGCTGGTAAAGCATTCAACTCTTGATTTTGGCTCAGGACATGATCTCATGGTTTGTGTTTTCAAGCCCCACATCTGGCTCCGTGCTGACAGTGTAGTGTCTGCTTGGGATTCTCTCTCTGTCTCTGTCTGTCTCTCTCTCTCTCTCTGACCCTTCCCTGCTTGCAGGCACTCTTACTCTCTCTCTCAAAATAAATGAATAAGCTTTAACAAATTAAAAAAAAGAAAATGCAGGAAGCCATCTTTACTACCATATGGAGACTTATGAATATGACCAGAAGGCACCGATTTTACCCTTTTTCTTCCTTTAAAAAATGTTCTCTGAAGAAGATGACCCTGGGGAGGGTAAACTATGATTTAGGAGATATTTACATTAGGAAGACCCACATCTGGGTGCCTGCCTCAGTTCCCTCTGGGGACCTACCTAAACACAGGAGACCTACCTCTTCTATGTGATTTTTCTTTTGAGGGGTGTTGGGTGTGGAAATGAATCTCCACTGGGAAGATACAGAGTTCTGCTGGAGGTTCATTGGCTTTAAATTGACTCCTCAAGGGGTCCAGAACTCTGGTTGGTTCTTCTGAGATAGGAGGTAATTTCAAAGCCTTTGGCACCTGGAGAAAATTTTAAAACAAAACAAAACCCAACATGGCAGGTATTTAAAAACCTTGCAGAGGACAAAGGACGCTGTATCTTCTTGTATCTCTAGTACTGAGTGCTGCCGGGTGTGACGTAGCTTCAGTACCCATGGCTGAGAAGTACAGCCGACCAACCGGGTTGCTGGCTGTCTGATCAGAGTGGTGCCGCTTCCCTTCTTGGGAACCCAGCAATGCCTCTCCCTTAATCTATCCTTTGATTTCTCTGAGAAGTATAAACATGATAAATTCAACAGCCTTTGAGACAAAATATATGTTGTCTTTGTCTTGCAGCCAGGGAAACTAAGCTGGGTTGGAATGATACAGCTGAGATTCCTATGTATGGAGAGTGAGGAATCCCTGCATGTGTTGCTAAGGGAAAAAAGCAAGGTACAGAACACTGTGCAACAATTTAGGTTACAAAGGGCAGAAAGTAGGAATATGTATTTGTGTCTGCTTACTTTATGTAAACTCCTTGAGTCTCAACTTCTTTTTCTGTAAAATGGAAGTAATCATACTTGCTACCTCATAAGGTTGCTGTGAGGATTAAGTGAGCTAATTACACGTAGTTACAATAATGTTTGGAATTAGAATTTTTCCTGGGATATTCCTTTGAGAGTAGACTCTTCTCTCATTAGGTGTAATGCCTGGTCTTGACACTGCAGAATATCTAGGTTTCTCCACATTTCTGCAATAGGAACATAGCTGAAAATGAATCACCATGTGACAGAATCAGTGACAACTTTAGCCCAGTTTTTTGTGTTGAAAAAAACCCACAAAATGTGTGTGTATATGTGTGTGTGTATGTGTGTGTGTGTGTGTGTGTGTGTGTGTGTGTTCAGAGAGAAAGAGAGACAGGGAGAGAGAGAGAATGAGACATTGTGGGTAGTAGTACTTAGAGCCTCCTCTTTCCAGTTATTCAAAAGTTGCTGACTAGGGGCACATGGACCCCAATGTTCATAGCAGCACTCTCAACAATAGCCAAAACATGGAAAGAGCCTAAGTGTCCATCAACTGACAAATAGACCAAGAAGATGTGGTTTATCTATACAATGGAATACTACTTGGCAATGAGAAAGAATGAAATCTGGCCTTGTGTAGCAACATAGATGGAACTCGAGGGTGTTATGCTGAGCGAAATAAGTCAGGCAGAGAAGGACAGATACCATATGTTTGCATGTATAGGTGGATTAGGAGGAACTTAATGGAGGACCATGGGGGTGAAGAAGGGGAAAAATAGTTGGGGAGAGGGAGGGAGGCAAACCATGAGAGACTCTTGAATGCTGAGAACTGAGGGCTGATGGGGACGTGGGAGAGGGGAAGGGAGGTGATGGGCATGGAAGAGGGCACTTGTGGGGATGAGCACTGGGTATTATATGGAAACCAACTTGACAATAAACTATTTAAGAAAAAAAAGTTGCTGAAGGGAGCCTAGGTGGCTCAGTTGGTTGAGTGTCTGACTTCAGCTTGGACTATGACCTCACAGTTTGGGAGTTTGAGCCCTGTATTGGGCTCTGTGCTGACAGCTCAGAGCCTGGAGCCTGCTTCAGATTCTGTGTCTCCCTCTCTCTGCCTCTCCCCCACTCACACTCTGTCTCTCTTTCAAAAACAAATAAACATTAAAAAATTTTTTTTAAGTTGCTGAAAATTCCTTCTTTTAGTTTGCAGCTTTTAACATATGAACTTGGCTCTGTGAAATGTATACGTGTTCTGGGTTTCAAGGAGTTCAACTTCACAGGAAGAGTAAGAAAAATGTTTCTCATTTTTTTTGGTGTGTGTTCAAAGAGAAAACAATGATCAGAAACACACGCAAACACCCTACATGTTTAGAGTTGAATAAGGAAATTTGACCAAGTGTATGCAGCATGATACTTATAATTTTGAGACATTAAGAAAATGATTAACCAAATGTATGCACATAGGATCTTAGTGTTCCTGGAGACCTTAACTGTCCAGGTGCGAGCTGCCCACCAACTGCCCTTTTCTGAATGCTGACCTTGTGCATTTTGTTTGACAAGGTTTGCATTGAGAAATCTATGCGGAAATCCAAATGATTTGTGTGAGGTGTGCTGACAAGCCAAGCCTTAATTTCTTTATTCCAATTAAAACTTTATAGAGTTTTAATATAGTGGAAAATACTGCCTTCCTCTGCTAACCCATATACAAGGGTTGAGGGAAAGGACTTCTGTCCTCTGAGCCTGGCTTGGTTCTGGGCTGACCTAGGGTATGAAATCAAGGGCTTTACTTAGGCATGCAGTCAGTGACTGGCAGATCAGGCCTACTGTTTACTCCTCGCCCAAAAGGAACAGGGGAAGACAGAGGCCTTTCTGGTGGGGATGGGAAGGTTCAGATCAGGTTAGACACAGGAAATCTGAGAAAATCCTGAACAGATTGAAAACAACCTCCCTCATCGGCACCAGGACCACCTGGAATGCCCATGGCTCCTCCAGTGTCACTTCAGAGGACATGAGTCCCCACAATGAACTAACATTGCTACGGTTCCCAATCCAAGACAAGATACTTTCACAAGAATGCATCCTTCCATCAGCCCTGTGAGGTGGGCATTATTATCTGCATGGAGAGATGAGATCACTGCCGCTCAGAAGGCTTGAGTTCATGCAACCGCTACAGGCAGAGCATTCCAGAGTCCCTGCTCGTTCCTGCTCAGCACAGGTACCTTCAAACCATGGAAGATCTATGTAGAATTACAAGGCAGGACGAGGCCAGAGACAGCTAGGAACATTCCTGGGCGGAAAGGTGTACTTGACTTTTGAAAAGGCTGATAAACTTGCCAAATTTACTGTACATTTTCAAAGGTGACAGATCCTGAAGCAAAACCGTTGCTAGATTCAAGGTCTCTAGTATTTTGAGTTTGAAGTGGGTCAATTGCTTATAAGCTTAAATTCTGTCCTTAAAAATTTACAGATCACCCCAACCCCTTAATAGCACAAAGGACTCTGTGGCCCCCAGAGTGTGGTAATATTATACGCTTTAAGGTAGAACTGGGGCAGCTGAAACTCCTTGTACTGCACTATTTTCGACATTTAGTAAATTACTAGAGCCTTATTCTAGCTGCACATGATGAGCTAAATAGCAAGTAAGGCCAGTTCTCTGTTTGAGACGTCCTTTTGAGTTACCTCATTCCTAGATTGAGATTAATCTTTTCAGAGCAAGCACGCATGCACACACGCACACACACACACACACACACACACACACACACACACACACAACCTTTTTCTTCTTCACTTCCCCAGCTGTGTTTTTCTCTGAGCCAGTGGCAGTTGCTAGAGGGGGAAAAAGGCATCTTTCAGCAGGAGGCTCCTGTAACAAGTGGCTGCTTCTGCCCTTGTGGAGTTTTATATTCCCTTGTCTGTCTGTAGAAACAGGATGGGAATGAGAACTTATTAGTTGCAGGTATGTGGACAGACAGTTGACTTTCAACTTTTATCACTTTTGGGTTAACAGGAATAGAGGAAAGGACAGGCACTGAGACAGCCATGGCTTTGGCTGAGGCAGGTTCAGGGGGTCCTAATCTCATTACCTAGCTTGGGTTCTTGCTGACAAGTCAGGTGATGGAGAGAATGATAATAATAGTAGCAGTCAACACATAGTAAGTGCTAAATATAGGAAAATAATTATACAAAGTATTTTACATGCAGTAACTCACTTAATCCCCACAATAGTCTTATGAAGGTATTATTGTTATCCCCATTCTAAAGGTGAGGAAACTGAGCCCCAGCAAGATCAAATAACTTGCCCAAGATCACAACTAGAAAGTGGGGGTTGCTTAAATCCAGGCAGTCTGATTGCAGTATGTGTGTGCTTGAGTATGAGGCGAAAAAGGAGGTTGTCAGTCTTGTTGCCACTTTGGACTGGACTTCGGCTCTTACTTTCTAAGATGAGAGACATGAGGAAGTAACACTCTCATGCCCCAGTGTTCTTAAATGAACTCTGCATGATTAGGGTTACCCATATTAACAAGAAAGACATTTGGCTTCTTACCGCTGAGATCTGCCTTTCTATTGGGGAAGGCCCCACCATAGAATGTAATGTGGGATTTGTCACTCAGGAGCCAAGAATGATCAATGCGGGCATGCCCAAAGGCCCTTCTGGAAGTTGGCTGTATTTTTTCATTGTGGCTTTCCTTTGAAGTGTGTATACGATGGTGATTCTGTATTGATGTGTCCTGGGGAATGACAGATACACATTCATGTAACAGGCTATGTAAAGGCATAGAGCAGTTTCCTTTAACAGTCAGACCTTGTGCTAGACTGTGGTTCCAAGGAAGAAATCTCCTTTGCAGCCTAGGAAGAAAAACATGATTGTAATAGCAAGATCTCTAATATTTGTTACAATACAATATTTTACTATTGATAGAGGAAGAATGACCTTTAACCATGAGTGACATATAGTACTTTCTTTTTCTTACATATAGTGCTTTCCTGAAAAAAATTAAAAATCAAAGCAAAGCTCTAGTATCCTTAACTCTATGCATTGTAAGATGTCTCTCCCTCTACCCTTCTACCCTGTGGCACCTCTCTTCTCCCCCTTTCCAGCTCACAATGACCTTGTAAGTCAGATGAGCTTAAAGATAGGAGCATGTGTTGTCTATGTTGCTCTGAACCACTGTCATCTTACACACACATACACACACACACACCCCCCTTAGAGTTTAGAAAGCATTTTTACATTTTAATGTATTTAATCCTCATAGTAGCTAGTGAGTATGTATAATAATAACTCCATTTTACAAAAGAAGTAATTCAAGCTCCAAGTCAGTTAAGTTTCTTTATCAGGTTCACTACAACTAGATCCAGGACTCAAACCAAGGCTTTTCCAACTGTAAAGCCAAGAGCTCTTTTCTAGAGAAGACTGCAGTTGCCTAGATAAGGTGAAGAGTGTAGGGAGACTCTGTGGTTAAAGAAGTTTGGAAAACCATGTGCTAAAAGTTAAACCAGCTACTTCACCTATAGAACTTCCCCGAATGGTCCATATTCAGATCTGCACTGTGACTCTCTGGGAGGAGGACATGATGTGCAGGATTTCCCAAATGTATTTGGCCACAAAATTCTTTTTTTAATTGAGCAGCTGGCAATGTTCCACATGTGACACTTTGGAAAACAGTGGTCAATAGGCTCAAAATATTCTTCCCTTCTCTGGTTGAACCTCAAGAAATGGTGAAAGGAGGGAGTATCCTCTCTGGAATCAAGAACAATGACACAGGGGAGCCTATTAGAAATGGTACCTCTGCCTGGGTTTCATCTTCGTGCCATGGCTGCTTCCTGAGTGGCGGTAAGTGAATCCCCTGGCTGTGATTTTTGGCTCCAGGGCCCTGGTTCATGCATCCACCAGCCCCAGCTTCCCCTTCATCCAGGCCCTGCTGACCTGCAAAGGTGAACAGTGTGTCAGCCTTGTAAAGCCAGAGGTGGACTGTTAGATGCTTCCAAACCGCCTCCCTTCTTGCTCTTCTGAGCAAAAGTGTTGATCAAGGTCCTTGTTCCTCTTCCCTTCTTGTTTCTATATTTCTGCTCATGCTTTCATAGTGGTGGCAGCCAGGTCTATAGACCAGAACTTCACTGAGAGCCAGGAGGCTCAGGATTGAGTCTTCATTTCTTAGACTCAGTTTCTTCCTCTGTAAAATGGGGATACTGATTTCTTACTTCCTTACAGAGTTGTCTGGAGCTCAAAGAATGAATGTGCTGGCTCTTTGCAAACTGTGAGGGACTGGAGGGTAACATTTGTGGGATTATGGTGGGCAGACCTGCAGTCCTGCACTGTTGTCATTGAGATGCTCAGTCTGAAGCACTTGATTTCCTGGCCTGTCTGCTGGTTGTTTACTTGTGGAAAAGCCTCTGCTGAATGCACTGTGATGGACGGCTGCTCAGCTCTCTGAACTTACCCTGTCTGTGCAACCCTCAGGAAGGATCTGAGTCAACAGATGACTCCAGCATAGTTAACAAATCTTTCATCGATGGGTAAAGGGTCCTGGAGCTATTTTCATCACTTACTCAAGGTAGATTTATTGCTGAAACAATCTGGCAAACCTTCCTTGTTTGGAGCCGTTTTAGCAACACCTCTACTCTTGGCCTGCCACTGCGTGGAACAACGTAGGACTGACTTTCAACCAGGGGCTCTGGAAGCCTTTCAGAGGCCCTGTATATGTTGAAACTCCAGACTTCTGGAGGCTCCCAGCCAGGCTCATCTTCCCTCTTTACCCCCAACCCTTGTCATTCTCTTGCATCATTCCAATCCTTGATGTCATTGGGTCAAAGGCCAAATGCCCACTCAACAGGCTACTCTCTGCCTCCAACCCTCCTTCCTCTGCCTATTGGCTCTTGACAGCTTCTTTGGGGTCTGAGCCAATGCTGAGAATGTTGTTGGAACAGAGGCAGGCTCAGGCTCAGGTTTAGAGGGGTCTGATCAGGTTTTAGTGGCCCAGGGAAGACTGATGAGCTCTGGGACCTCTTAATCTGAGGAGGCCCAGGGCTACATTAGGCCTGCCCCCGCGAGGACCTCAAGTTCACACAGGGTGTGACACTAAAGACCTTTTCGTGTTTTCTAGAATGATCCTTTGGGGCCAAGCCAGACTTTAGATCCATTCTTCCTGATCAGATTCACCTGGAACCAAATGAATTTCTAAGGGTAAAGGAAGTGAAACCCTGGCCAAGTGGTTACTCACTTATGTGGTAGACTGTCTAAACTGGGACAGAAAGCACTATAGGTAGGGGGATGTGAAGAAGCATTCTTCCCTTTGGCTCTATCCCAGGTGATATTGAATATATGACTCAATCTATGCAAGGGAAACCAAGATTTTTCTCAATAAACATCATCTCTGGCTCATTTGCTTATGCTTAATAGAAACAGGTGTGCAAACAAGGTATTGGAAGTTTCAGTTGTTGAAATAAGACCACAAAACTTGGTCTCTCTGTCTCAAAATATGGATCCAGATTACCCAAATAATGTGAATTGCGGTAGCAATTTAGAGGCCTTAGAGAGCCTATTTTTTTTTAACCCCTTCTGTGATTTTTTTTTCAACATAGAGTGGAATACGGATACCGTCACTCCCATTTTACAGATGAGCAAACTAAGGATGCAGCAAACATACATGATGTGGCCAATATCATATTGTTGGGGGAATCTTAGATTTGCAGCTGGGACTTTTCCTACTTTTCCAAATAAAGTGGAAAAGAGAGGGAAGCCAAGGGGAGTTGAAGTTAAAACCAATAAAACAATCAGTCAGCATTCAAGTTACAGCCTCTGAGCTGTTTTTACTTCTTTACAAATTGATTTTTGATCCTTGTGATTTTGAGCAATTAAGCATTGCAATTAGTAATTATGCTTGAAAACACAAGATAGGGAGGTCTATGACTAACATTTATTGAGCACTTGCTGTGTGCCAGATACTACTTTATCCCATTTAACTCCAACATCTAACCCTATGACGTGAAGGTGGGTTTGGTCATCTCCATTTTATAAATGAGGAAACTAAAGCCCAGAGAGGTTACATGGCTTGAGATCTGGTGCTAATGGCCACATGTTTACTTATAATTCTATATGACTTCTCGGTTTTCTTCCTAATTTTTACTGCTCCTTGGCATATGGCATTAATTAAGGAAATTGCTTGATCCTTTAGGTGTGCAATGTTGATCCACTCCTAGAATAAAAATACTGTAGTCCCCTGTCCAGTATTTGTAGACTTTATAGGGCATCAAAGTCTAAGGATATTAACTGGAGACAGTAGGATTTTCATAAGGCGATGTCAAACTTGGGATCCACCTGGGCCAGAAGGACCCATTCCCATGACATGGGTGGTCCAGAAATTTGATCTCTTCAAGTGTCCTAGAATCTGGATGTTGACCCCACATTAGGAAAGTGTATAGTGACTCTATAAACCAGTGTATTAATTTACAAAGATAAGTATAATTGCCTGACCAGCATATTTCCTATAGATGAACTACATGTGGACCAGGTTATGACCAAAATTTCATGGTTACAGGGTCAAGTCTTAAGGATGGTATATGGCAGGAATGTTTAATGGCACCAGGCTCTGAGAACCTGCCACATTCTTCTCCATTCATTTGATAGACCAGATATCCTACTTATCCTGACCAGATCCTTTTCCAAGGACAGGGTTTGGGTAGGCACTACCATTATTTATGGAAAAGTACTTTTTCATTTCAGGAAAATTAACTTCATATTATGTTAGGTTCTTATTCTTGCCTTCTTTTTTCTCAAAAACCCTGGCACTAGTCAATGCCTTATTCTTTGTCCATTAGTGCTACCCAGTCATCTTTTCCTGTTTCTTCTTAGCAAAGGCAGTTTCTGGCTCTTTTAATGCTTCAAGTTCCCAAGAATATTACTGATAAGTAAAATCCCCATACTACTGAACAACTTACAGACAGCTCACAGTAATTTTCTGTATATCAACAAGGCAAGTCTTATTATGTTCATTACACAAAGGAGCAAAGAGAAGTTCAAAGAAGTTAAATGACTAACTCAAGATCTTACATTTAGTAAGAGAGAGGACAGGCATTGCTCCAAAGCCTGTATTTTTTCTTGTGATATTGCCACAAAACTATAGAATTAAAGAATATTAGAGTAGAATAGGCTTAAGAAATAATCTAAAATCTAGAGTCTAGACCTGCACTGTTACAGTGCACATGTAACTATTTAGATGTGAGGTAATTATAAGTAGGTAAAAATTTAAAACTCAGTTTCATAGTCACACTACCTACATTTCAAGTGTTCAATAGGTGCATGTTGCTAATAGCTACTAATTGAATATCATGTATTATAAAACAGTTTATCATTGCATGAGGTATGTTTGGATAGTGCTGGTCTAGACTCTAAAGACAATGAAACCCCAAATCCCTAGAACTTATTTTGACGACTCCATTTTAAAGTGTTAGAAATTCAAATATTTGAGATCTAGTCATAAAATCAACTTGTACCTTGTTCAAAAGATTTTCCTTGTTGAATCCAAAATGGAGGGAAGACAGGCAGGAGATGGTATTTTGGGGGTACACCTGAAAGATCCTGTTGTGGCCTGAGAGTCTTTGGGACATTAAGTTGACTGTCTTGGAGCAGCACAGAATCCTTGATGTATCCTGAAGAGTAGGTTAGGAGTTATTGGTAGAAATAGTGGTCACCGTTACAGAGATCTTGGAGATAACTACCAGGTTCCCCACTTGCAACTAGTCTTGGCTTTGAACATTGCCCATTAGAGAAGACAATTAGTAGATAGGAGGGATTAAAAATCAGATAGAACCCATAGAGGTTCTCTGTTCAGTGTCTTGTGTGCTTCTGGTCCTGTGCCACATATGTGCTTCTTCCACTTCACCGTTCCCAAGAACTGGGTCTCCTGGATGGAAGAAACATGGCTGCTTCTTTGGGGTTGGGTAAAAGCCTCTTCCTGCTTTAGGGGGAGAATCTAATGGTTTTTCCTGGATGTATCCTACTTGCTATGTAGGCCCCATGATTCTCCATCCAGTCGTTCTACAGTTATTTATTGGGGGCTTACCACTGCTAGGCAGTGGGATAGACACAGAAGAACCAGACATAGGCCTTTTTCTAAAGGCAGTAATAGTCTGTTGGAGAGATGAAGGTCTTCTGTGTTCAATTGTGTGGCCCCAAATGTTGATGTGATATAAAGTCAGAAAATAGGAGCTCAATACTGGCTGGAGTTGTCAGAGAAGCATTTGTAGAAAATGTGGCTCTGAAGGGTGTGGAGGGGTTATCACTGGGATGGCAATATGGGACCAAAGAACATACTAGGACTACTAAGCTAGTGAGCTCTGCGATGTGATGGAAAGCGTAGCCAAGGCCATTGAGCCAGTGATCTCATACCACAGTATTGCTATTGTTCCTCCAGCTTGAGGAGACATTTTCTTATGTTAAGAGGGGTTCTTGTCCTTGAAGATGTTGGGGCTAGGCTATGGTGCAGTGGTCTGCTCTGTCCTCTGCTCCACCCAAAGATAAACATATCTTTGGTTAAGAGGCTCTTTCTTACAATGTTAAATAAATGGAACTGACTGCAGTGCTGAGCCTGCCATGAAGGTAAAACCAATTACTGGACCAACCCACACCTCATTTTCCTTCAAGTCATCACTTATTGCGGAAAGAGTTGTTTTCTCTCCTTTCCCAAAGTAAAACTATAAAGTAAGAAGAAAGTCAGTCTTCCTGTGGTCCTGTTTGTGCTGAAGAAATGGCAGGCAAACACACAGTGGGCACTGGCAAATCCTACTTCTCACTCCTCTCATCTCCAATAGGTTTGCCAAATAAAATATGGGATATCCAGTTAAAACTGAATTTCAGATAAACAATGAATACTTTTTTAGCAGAAATATGTACCAAATGTTGCAAGCTTAACTCTATGTCTGTGTTTGTCTATCTGTGTGGGTCTCTGTGTTTATGCACTAAGTTTCTGGCAACTTGAATCCCCAACAGTTTCCTGTTTTCATTTTCAAGCCTTTGCAGAGTGCATTTGGGGTCTCTCTTTGGCAGAAGGTTGTCCATCTCCTAAGTGGATGGTGCTGGAGAGCTGCCATCTTTAAGAGGAGGAAGCCTAACATTTTTACTTCCTGGGGGATCTGAGATCATCTTAGAAGGGGAACTAGGGAATATTGGAGTGAGGGTGGAGCTGGGGGCATGGGAAGATCTGCCTTCTGGTCCCAGCTCTGCTTTTGGCTGAATGACTTTGGACAAATTATTTTGTCCCCCTGGGCCTCTCTTCTTTATCTTGTAAAAGAGAGGGATTGATCGGAGGATCTGAAGTCTCTGAGTAGAGAAGGTTGGGAAGAAAGTTCTGCTTAGGATGTGGAGTGTGAAGATCCTAAGGGGAGCTAGAGACAAGGCAAGACTTCAGACTGTGTGTTCCTCTGCAAATGTTGGGGAGGACAAAAAGCAAAATGTATGATAGAGGCTCTCAGCTCCCAAGCTTGAGCACCTCTGCCTTAACACAAAAATGAACCTAAATTCTGATGTTTCAGGACTTGATGGCAAAAAGACACTCACACCTGAATTCAAGGCAGGGAAGCTCAGGGTTTAAGTCCTCCCACTGCCCCACTGACCTGCACATTGGAGCCTGTACATGGTGTCAGGGGGCCATGTCCGCAAGAGGCCTCGGAGGTATCTCTTGGCTGAATACCCAGGGTGCATCTGCCGTTGGGCCTGGCTCTCAGATGTGCTTCGGAAGTGGAGGTATGGTTGCCAGGTTCTGTCCTGCTCCTGCTGTGGGGACACCATGGAAACAGCATGGCTGCTGAGCCCTGAGCCTCCCAGTGATATAGGCTGGTTAGCACAATCCTTATCAGTAATCGGAGAGACTCCTGGAAGGTGCCTAAAGGCACCTGAAACAGATGCCTCAGCCAACAGACATAAACGAAGAGTCCACAGAGCAAGCTCTGAAAGGTCTCTGTAGATTTGCAGTTGGAAAGAGAAGGGGAAATGAGAAATTCCAGACCCCATCTTGAGACAAAGCATCGGAAAAGAATAAAGAGCTTCAAAAGAAAACACATTACTTAGTTCAGCCTGTGGAAATAATTTTAGTACCTTAAAAAGTGGCCCTGTAGGGCAATGGGAAAGTCAGTTCAACAAGTCAGCATCGGCATTTAATGTTTGCAATATGAATAATGGAACAGACAAATTATGTTCATGTTAACGGGAAGCCTGGCATTTTGAAAATATCTGGCTCTGCTGCATTTCATTTCAGCCCAGGAGAATTTTCTGGGAACCTACCTGCCAAAGTCAGTTCCACTGTGCAAGACATCATGTGGAATAAATGTGAATAAGAACATCTTACACTTGGCTGGCGATATATATTCTACAAAGAACTTTCACCTCATTATAATCCTTTAATGTGGATGAGTTAATACTATAACTACTTAAATGATGCAGAAACTCTCTAAGGATGATCAGTTAAGCACAAGAATAGCAAACATGAGGACTTGTGTTGACATCTGTCCCCCTCCCCCTTGTCCGTGGTAGACATCACCAATCAATCATGACATTCTTGACTGATGAGCAGATTGTGATTTCAGTCCTTCTCTTATAAATTTTTAAAAACAGGCATAATTTATATATAACAACATGCACAGGGCAAAAGTGTTCGGTTTAATAAAATCTGACAAATTGTATACACCTCTGTAACCACCACACAAAACAAAAATATAGCCCAACAAAAATATAGCCCAGAAGGATTCCCTCATGCCACTTCCTGGTCAATTTCTCCCCACCTGTCAGGTAATCACCTTTGTCAGGTGAGGTCAGTAAGCCACTGGCCTGAGCTACTTTGCCATATCCTGCCAAAATTTACCAAAGAAGGCATATGGTTAAATTTTAAAAAGTAAAGAAAAAAGAAAAAAATGTGATGGAAATATAGAACCTGCTTGATGTGGGGAAGAAGGCCTTAGGATATGGGTTCTTGTTCTGGTTTGCTCCAGTTCTGTGTATTCAGGAGATCAAAATGCCACAGAAAGACAGCCCACAGCTGTAGCTGAACATTCAAGACCACCAGAAACTCTTCTTCAGCTAAAGAGACAGCTGGGAAGCCAAAGTCCATAGGACAAAGGAATATCTCTGCTGGAGAGATAGAAACAGGCATCTAAGACATTCACTGATTCATTGATTCATTCATCCATTTTATTCATTCATACATACAGTGCATCAAACAAAATGTCAGGCACTGGAGAAAAAGGGACAAAATAATTTGAGTAGCAGAGAAAAGAAAGCTAGTTACTCAATTGGCTGCCCTCTTTAGGAATTTGTAAATTAAATGAATGTTTGGAATCCAAACACAGAGTATCAACTGGTCTTTGATGTCTGGACGTTTATGTGGCAGGTATTTCAAGTGCAATAAGACCCTGAAAAATTCAGTCCCACATAAATCTTGAGGCTCTTTCCAGAGGATAAGGAGGAGAAGAATTATAAGGAGGGCAGCGGAAGCAAAGTGACTCAAGTGCTCTTTCACTTCATTTTTTTCATTTGGTCATGCAGTCATCTTTACTGAGCACAATCTATGTTCCAGGGACTGTGGTAAGCCCTGGAATATGGTGCCATTAGATCTTTCTGGGTAAATTGGAACTTCATTTCCTCCATGTAAGTCTTTGCTTCAGATGAGTTTTCTCTGTTTGCAACAAGTTTGAGCCTCCTCTGAGAGGCTGTGGCCCCTGTGTTGATGGCATGATGCACATGTTGATCTGGACAAGAGCCCTTTATTGTTTTTCTTTCATGGGTATTTTTGAAGTTATCAGCTTGGTCTTGGAGCTTTACTGGGAAACTTGCTAAATGGGATAGAGAGTTGCCAAGAAGAGTTAGAAAATCCTTTGTCCTGGAATTTGGGGTATTTAGATACATTTTTTTCCTATAGTTTGAAAGCTGATCTTGCCTCTGTATTAGTTTCCTATTGCTGATTTAAGAAATTACCGTATACTTAGTGGCTTTAAACAATAAAAATTTATGATCTTATAGTTCAGGAAGTCAGAAGTTTAAAATAGATCTCACTGGGCTAATATCAAGGTGTTGACAGGGGCCCTGTTCTCTGTGGATGTTCTAGTGGAGAATCTGTTTCTTGGCATTTTCCAGTTTCTAGAGGCTCCTGCTTGTGACTCCTTCTTCCATTTTCAAAACCAACAATGTTGGGTTAAGTTCTTCTCATGCTGCTCTCTCTCTCTGGTTCTCACTTTTGATTCCTTCTTCTACTTTTAAGGATCCTTGTGAGTATTCTGAGCCAGCCCTGATAATCCAGGATAATCTCTTTCTTTTAAGGCCATTTTATTAACAACCTTAATTTCCCTTTGCCATTTAATCTAATATATTTATATGTTCCAAGCATTAGGACATAGACAACTTTGAAAGTCATAATTTTGTCTAATACAGTTTAATTTTTTTCTAGTTTTCTGGTTTTTCTTAGTCTCTCAAATCATGCCTGTGAAGTTGATAAATTTCACATCTTATTGGATAAACTGATGCACTGAGAGAGGCCCAAGTCCTGCTTAGGGCTACCAGGAAGACCAGTCAGGGTTAAATCTATTCATTCATTTCCAAGGTGTGGAGTCTACTACGGTCATACCACCCTGAATGCACCTGATCTCATCTGCTCTCGGAAGCTAAGTAGGGTTGGGCCTGGTTAATACTTGGATGGGAGTCCAAGGTATAGAATAATATGTTAAGTAGAAAAAAGCAAGATACAAGAGAGAATGTAAAGTACAATTACAATCTCATAAAATCATATTTTATAAGTGTATAATCATGGTGGAAAGACTAGAAGAAAATATATTAAAATGCTAATAACAGTGGTAATAGGTTTTTGGGCATAAGATTACAGTTAGTTCTTTTCTTCTTCCTTTTTTAAAATAAAATAGAGGTGCCTGGGAGGCTCAGGCAGTTAAGTGTCTGACTCTTGGTTTTGGCTCAGGTCATGATCTCATGGTCTGTGGGATTGAGCCCTGTGTTAGGCTCTGTTCTGGCAGTGTGGAGTCTGCTTTCTCTCTGTCTCTCTCTCTCTCTGGCCCTTCCCCATTAACATGTGCTTGCTGGCTCTCAAAAATAAGTAAATATAATTTAAAAATCAGTAATATGGTTAGGTTATATTAATAAATGGAAAACATGTTAAAAATTAATTTGTTTTATTGCATCCACCCTCCTCTCATATGTATTATTTCAGTTCCTTCTCCAACATTATCCTAGACCTCTAACCACCAGAAGTTACTATACAACCTAAAAGGAGACAGAAGGGAGCCAAGAAGGGAATTTCTGGGACAGGGAAATGAGTGACAGCAGGAGGCTGGCTGTGAGGGTTTCAAACTTCTCAGGCCTGCCTTGGCTTTGCCAATCAATTCTAGCTTCTGGTTTCTTCTGAAATGAGTAATTAGTGAAACAGAGTGGCCTGTTATCCACACTCCACCAGAGTGCTTCCTCTAACAAGGGACTTTCTCAGGCCAGCCATATTCCCAGAGCTCACCAGGCCTCCATATGCTGAGGAGCAAAGGGGACCCTGGCACCTGTCCCTATCCCTGCACTGGCTGTCATGTCCACCCTGCCGCAATGCTGGTTGGTAAGGATTTGCAGAGAATGGAAGGAGCTGGTGCAGGCTGTGTTCCTGCTCAGCAGATATAGGGTGGCAGGGTGCCAGGGTCCCCAGGAAGGCAAGAAAGGCCCTGACAGCCAGCTGCTATCTTACCACAGATGGTGGCCAGTCTTTGTGTGCAGAAGTCGACAGAGGGATGAAGAGAGAAGTCCAGAAATCCCAGGTCTGGCAGCAAACCCCTGCACAATTTGATTCCACCCACTTTTTCCAGCTAAGAGCCATTCCTGTCTAATTCCCTTGACTGTCTTCTGCTTGCTGTCCTCTCTAGGCCTTCACTTACCTATAACTGGATGGGTTCTTCCCACTTATTTTTACCACAAGACTCAGCTCAAATCCCACCTCCAAGATGCCACTGTAGTCACTCTAATCTGGTCCTTGACCAGATTGTACACCCTTACTGGGTAGAGGCTATGGCGTCTCCCTGTCATACCCTGGCAACCAATAAGTTCATCTAACAACTATTGTTGAGCATCTGCCATATGTCAGGCACAGTTCTAGACACTGACTAGTTAATAACTATTCAAGATGTTAAAAAAGAAATAAATAAAACTTTATTTTTACTAAAAAATTTTTAATGTTTTTATTTATTTCTGAGAGAGAGAGACACAGCGTGAGCAGGGGAGGGTCAGAGAGAGAGAGGGAGATACAGAATCTGAAGAGGCTCCAGGCTCTGAGCTAGCTGTCAGCACAGAGCCCAATGCGGGGCTCCAACCCACGAACCATGAGATCATGACCTGAGCCAAAGTCGGACGCTTAACCGACTGAGCCATCCAGGCACCCCTAAATAAAATAAAACCTTAAAAGTATTTACTTATTTATATTTTTAAATGTTTATTTATTTAAAAAAATTTTAATGTTTATATTTTGAGAGAAAGAGAGAGAACAAATGAGGGAGGGGCAAAGGTAGAGGAAGACACAGAATCTGAAGCAGGCTCCAGGCTCTGAGCTGTCAGCACAGAGCCCCATGCAGGGCTCGAACTCACTAACTGTGAGATCATGACCTAAGCTGAAGTCGGATATTCAACCAAATTGAGCCACCCAGGTACCCCAAATGTTTATTTATTTGAGAGAGAGAGCGAATGAGCACAGAGGAGGGGCAGAGAGAGAGGGAGACAGAGAATCCAAAGCAGGCTCCACACTCTTA